AGGAATGCCAAGGGCGTTGTATCTAGTGCCTGAAAAGGTCGTTCCATCTATACTTGCTGCCATGGAGTCAAATCCAACTCGGAGTCGCGCTGTGGGACAGAATAGACCTGCCTTTGTGGGCTTCAGAGGCTGTAAGCATTTTTGGGAGCAAAATGCATCACCTTTTCCCATTGGTGGGTTTGAACTGTTGTCAGCAACCCAACCGGTACCCCACTCAGGCGCGTTCATATGTAGTAATTATATTAATGCTGCACTCTATGTTTATACACTTACTCATTTTATGCTCGTATGGATCATGTTGGCACATATAAATGAACTGCAATGAAACCAATGTTTTCTCATTGTAGGAAAATTTTATCTGTAATAGTAATTTTACCCAGGAAGCTGACCCGAATATCAGCCGAGGCACCTAATTTTACCCAAAAAACTACATGAAAGATGTGCTGAAAATTTCAGCTTATACACAAGTATATATAGTTATTAGAAAGGAATCATGACAGGCCCAGATCTGATTTGATTATGATGTCATAATGACTACCATTTATTAATTTACATGTTATATGGCTTGATGTCAGCTGCAGTTGAGCAAAAACAAGTTGGCTTCTGAAATGCATTGTCTCCTCCTGGCTTTTATATTTTTTGCTCTATTTCTCATAGAAAATTGGTCTGACTCCATTGTCAAATGGATTTCTCGCTCAGATAATATTTTATGCTCTTTTGTAGCAAACCAGAATTTAACACCTTCAGTTTTTATCAAAATCATTTTCGATAGGGGGATTTTTTTTCCCCTGATGTTGAAAGTTTGTCATGGACTCTGGAGATTTGGTTGGGGTGGGGGTTGTTTCTATGTTATTTTACTTCCCATAAGGCCCTGAGTGCGAATGAATTCTTTTTCTCCTTGACTCAGTTTCCTTCTCGGTATATCAAGGACAGTCAACTTTTTTTTCTTCATTAGTAGTAAATACATTGGTGTCAATAAATCATCCATGAACACCTCGCGCACATCACACTGATGAGCACTGGGAATTCAGTGATGGAGATGGCATTTGGCCTCTAACCTCTAACCTCTGGCCACTAAAGATGTGAAAAGCCCAATATGAAGTTTTCCGGGACCAACCACCTTCACCTTGCAGTCTGCTTGAGAATACCATCTCACCATCATCTTCAGCAAGAACATTCTTTCTTCCATTCTACTTTTCTGTAGAGGTCGGAAGACATGCCATGCTATGTATGCTTCTCTGTGGTTTTGTAAACACATGTCGTCATCACTTGCAGGTGCACCCTGTTGGGAAGTGCGTGGCTAGAGTGCTGCTATTCTTAGGAGCCAGCAAGTTGGTTCTCAGTCATAGTGGCCGCAAGCACAATCGAATGAAACACTGCCTGGTCTTGTGCCATCCACACCCTCTGCTATGCTGTGCCCATTGCTGTCACCCCGCATCAGTTTATCTTGTTGAGGGCCTTCCCTTTGCCATTGACCCTCTCCTTGACCATGCATGTCTTTCTCCAGGAACGGATCCCTCCTGCACACATGTCCAGGGTGTGGGAGGACGTCTCAGCACCTTCACTGCTCAGGAGAATGCCGGCTATGCTTTCTCCAAAATATATTTGTTGATTCATTTAGCAGCCCATTATATTCAGTATTTTTTGCCAATAACCATAATCCAAATACCATAATTGTTCTTCTTAAATGCTACGCGGCACACGTGTATAGTTTACAGCAGCGCTTCTCACCCCTCAATGTGTCTTAGAATACATTGGAGAGCATTTAAACTAAGGTTCTGCCCTTTCCACCCAGATAGGATTTGTCTGAGGTGAGGCTACAAGCCTGGTTTCAGATGAATAGATAGATCAATGAAAAATTCATACTATAATAAGGGGAACATGTGAGCCAACCAAATTTAAGGACAGGAGAATTAAAATGAATCCAGGGATCATAGAATTCCACAATATTCAAGGTCAAAACCTTGAGGGTATAAATGATTAATAGGTCTGGCTGTTAAAGGAAAAATCGGGGGCAGGAGTTAATTCAGAGATGCCTTCTCCACAAAGACATGGAGCAATTGTCTGAAAAACCGCACCCGTTGAAGAGCAGTCCTAAATTACCACCCATTGGAGCTCCGTGAAGTGAACTGAAACTGACTGACAGTAGCTAGTTTTCAAAACTTCATTAACGTGACCTTGGACCAGATTTTGACTCTGGGTTCGTTCATAGCTACAACAAAGGGAAACATGATCAGATGTCTAACCGCCGGATAGTCATTAGATTAAAAGGAAGCAAGTTTTCTAGAAAGGCTAGTTAGCTTCTGCGGGACTACGACTTACAACACAAGGGAAGGAAAGAGGAGACTTGATAAGGAGGTGCATGGCATGGTTAGCACATGGAGATGAAACCCAAGGATGCTTTTCACAAGAGATACTGATGTCCCAACAAGGTTGGCTTTGAGAGAGAATTGAATGCTGTGCAGGATGATGCTCTAGATTACAAGATAGATTGGTTCATTAGCTGAGTGCCCACCCACATGTTCTATAGTCCATGCCCACCAATGTCTTTAAGCCCCGGCAGGAACTGGGCTCTGCCTGTGCTTGGTGCTTTAACCCCATCATCTGTCGCCAGCTCCTTGCCAAATTTGCTGTCACCATACAGGATGACTCACCGTCTCTTGTACCTTCCAGGGTCCTTCTTGCTTCTCAGACTTTGCATTTGCCTGAAATCTTTCTTTAGATTATTGCTTGGCCAGCTCTTTTGTCACTTAGGTAGAAAATCACCTTTGCAAAGAAGACTTTTTAACCCCTTTATCTGATGCTACCTCCCTCTGCTATGCTGATCATGTTTCTCATATTATTCTGTTTTCATTTTGCAAAGCACTTTTTAAGATCCGCAATTAGCATCATGATTTGTTTACGTGAGTTGCAATCTGTGTGGTCCGCCGTTCGAAACCACTAGCAGCTTCTTGGTAGGTCTGGGCTTTCTACTCCCTTAAACAGTTACAGTCTTGGAAACCCATAGGAGGTTGCTGTGACTGGATGGCAGTGAGTTTGGTTTGGTTTTGGACCTAGAGTGTTTGGATATATATATATATGGGAGGGGGCTCAGCAAACAAGGGGGAAGATTCTCAGTGAGATAGATTGACACAAGGCCTGCTACAGTGGACACTAGAATAACAGTGATTGTGGGAATTGCGTGGGGAAATGTTTTGCTTTGTTTTTTTGTACATGGGGCCTCTGTGAGTTGTAATCTACTAGATAGCACCTGATACCACCACCACCAACTGCCTCATTCTGTAAAGTTAGCTGCTGCAGCCCCTGTGTTGGAACTGTAGGGGTTTGCAGGGGAAGGCCAGCCCCCCACAACTAATCACGGGTTTGATAAGCGTAATTGTATGGTGTCTATATATATATACAGATATAGATAAATATAGATATTTATATAGATAAATATAGATATATATTTATATATATATAATAAAGTCATAGAGAATAAGGAGAGATAGGAGATTGATTGAAATAATGGAATCAGACACATTTCATAGTAGCATGCTCACCTCAGAAGAGAGTGCAGGAGAGAGGGGAAGGGGAAGGAGGACAAGGAGAGAAGGGACAGGGGAAAGAGGACCTGGGAGAGAGTCATGGGGAGAGCTCTTTATTTCTAACCAAGGCTTATCTATCTTTGGGGGCATGCAAGCCCCCTAATTACAGGAAGGGGTTGTACTATAGGTAATACAGTAATGAGAGGGGGATGATCTAGGGGTATACACAATAGGAAGGAGAGGGATTGGGGGTATACATGTGACAAGATGGGCAGATCCTAAATTCAGGGAGGCAGCCTAATTTTGGATGTCACCGAGCAGGTTTGACCTGTTTTCTGGTTCTCCATAGAAACCATTATCAATAGGGTGTGAACCCCACCTACAGTGGACCAGACAGTTGGCTGTAAGCCTTCAGGGAGAAGTCACCCATTGTCCTTAACAACAGGTGGGAGTGGGCCCACCTGTGGTGAGACTAGACGGTAGTCTGAGGGCTGAATGCATCTGATCTCCCACCACTGCTGGCAAATAGCCTCTAATGTTTGCCTATCTTTGAGGGAGACAAATCTGGGAAAGTCTTGTACATCCCACTGGTGCTCAGCTCACAAAATAGAGTTTGGAACTGTCGGGGCTCAAAAATGTTAGTTGAATGAACAAACTAGTATCTTCATGCGTCTTTCTAATTATACTATGTTTTTATGGAACACAGAGTCAGACTTTTTCACAAGCAATTGAGTTGGAAATAATGTTGACATCCTGCCATTAAAGAGATGGATATGGACCAGGATACTAGTCCAAACCAAAAACCAATTCTTGTCTGTGGTCACAATGACGCTCACATTTTGTATGTCTTAATTATCCTCTCCTTAAGTCCACAAGCAGTCGCCTGAAACTACGCTACTCTCGGGGCGGTTATTTCACCTGAATTTTGGGTTTTGAATCAGTTGCATATGGTTAAACCGAGGCCTCCAGAAAACTTACATAAAGCTCTAATTCTGCCTGGTCGTAGGCAAGTTTACAATTTTTCTGAGCCGTGATTTCCATATCTGTAAATAGAGTTGCAACTGTAGTAGCTCCTTCATAAGATTGTTTTGATGATAACAGAAATAATTCCTGAAAGCACTTAGCATCATCCCAGGCTTAGAGGGTGCACTCAGATGCTACCTACAATAATAATTACGCCACTTATAATATTAATTAATTAATGATTATTATCCTTTTGATGAGTTTCTCCATACTTGAAATGCCATTATCATGAAACCGTTTCATTGATTTCCTAAATATTTATGCCAGTCTGCCTTAAATTCATCAAAATCATGTGAAAAACACTCGTAAAACCTGGGGCCACTGTAGGTCCCAGTGCAGACGTGTGTGCGCGCGTGTGTGCGCGCGCGCTCGTTCCAAAGAGGTAATTCTCCTAATGCCATGACCTCTTTTGATCTCTCCTGTGCCTTTATAAACTTGCCGTGAGCGCAGAGGAGAAGGCTAAGAAGGAAGCAGAAGAAAAGGCTCGCCTGGCTGCAGAGGAGAAGCAGCAGGAGCTGGAAGCCGAAAGCCAGACGGAAGACGTCGCCGCTGGTAAGACTGAGAAGAAGACATCTGGGGAGGCCAAGAGTCAAGTCCATGGAACTCGCGCGGGCAAAAGTGACAACCCTCGTGGGAAAAACTCCAAAGCTGAGAAGTCTTCGGGAGAAAAGCAGCAGAATGGTGAGTTCTCGGTCACCATCAAGCGGATTTTGCACTGGCAAAAGGCCGGGAGACCAAGACAGCTTTGTTGTCTGGTAGACTTGGGTCCAAATCATAGGTGTGGCTCTCACTTCTTGGTCACCATGGTCAGGTTTCTGAATCTTCTACTGTCTCTGAAAATGTACATTATTATACCTATCCCATACCTCCTTACTACTGAGGGTACTTGTTAGTTATAATGTGCATTTTACATAGCACAACTATCTCTGTAAAATGCACATTATAAGCCCTACTCACAAAATCTGAGCGATGCCTGGTAGGACTGTTTTGTAGACGTTGGACTGCTTACACACAGGTAGGTGGCTCAAGTCCACTAGCCTCAGAGGAAAGACGAGGCTGTTTGCTCCTGTACAACCCCAGAAACCCAACCTGGGGCCTCTCTGAGTGCAAATGGACCCAATTTGGGGGTGGTGGTGGTGTTAAGTTTGGTTTTATGCACAGCATAGGTCTCTTGTGAGCCCTTAATAAAAATCATGGTAATAATAGTTAATAATGTGCCTTGGCCATGCACGAGATTATGTTTTACGATTCTTCTGTAGGTTGTCAGTGGCTGATGTGATCCGATGAGCTACGTCAGAGACAGACTCTAGCTCGTTTGCTGCACAGCCTCCGTAAATGATAATGTGTAGAAAGTGCTCAGCATAACATTTCCCCAGTTATTGTTCCGATCCGTATGTATAAGACTGCTAATCAGAAGACAAAACATTCATAATGATACTAAAAATAAGATGCTGACACCATTACCATGTTCTAAGAACTCGGCAGATAGCTTGTTCAGGTAACCCTCATGATCTCCTAGAAGAGGGGTGAGTAAACTTTGGAGATGGAAGGGTGAATCCTGTCCCTCATAACAATTTTAAAATTAGTTCAAGAGCCAAAAATGTATTTTACAAACACAGGAAATCACCATAATCTGAAAATAAAACTATGGCGGTTTCATCTTGGTGTTCAACTTCATTTCCAAGCCATGTGTACGTGCCGAAAGGACTGCATGTAGCTCAAAAGCCGCAGTTTGCCAACCGCAGCCCTAGGCAGTAGGGAAGGCTGTTGTCTGAGTCTGACCATTTCCTCGGTTGGTCAAGGTAGCACCAGACTCAACCTAGGCAGCTTGATTTCAGAGATGGCTCCTGATCACCGCCCAAAACTGCATGTATTGAGCATGTGTATTCAGCACGCTTCATGTTACACTTTACCATGGTTGTCCCACCAGGCATCTTGTTTAGAAATATTATTGAACACCCGGTACGCACTGGGCAATGTGATAGATACTGCGGGTCCTGTTGTGAACAGATGTAGTGCCTGCCCCAGTGAAGCTCCACCCTTGAATAAGAGAAAGAAGCAGTTGTGATACTGTGAATGAATGGTTGTTTGCTGCACTGAATGAACACACAATAGAGGCACAGGCACTTAATTTGGCTTGGGAATCAATGGGAGGCTATTCAGGAAAATTTCACGAAGAGGAGACCTATAGGCCACACAAGAATATTGCAGATGAAACACATTCTGAGGCCCAGAAGCAAGAGAAGGTCAGGCGGTTCAGGAAGTCCAAAGAGGTTCAGGGTGGCTGGGCATGAAACGGGGGCAGTGGGTCAGATGAAAAGGTGGGGCTAGGAAGTTGTGCATAGCCAACTCCTTCTCCAACTAAGCTACTCCTTCCCGAAAGGAGAATAGGTAAGGTTAGGTAAAATGTGTTCTCCCCTACTTCTTACACTTCAGAGATTGTGTTACGATATGCTTTCTCAGTGGCAACAGAAGTAACGAGAAGAAGGTATCCTCCCACCTGGTAAGCATACGAACCCCCACCATGTATTGTGCCAGGCATTGTCCTCAAGATTTTACCTTCATTAAATAATTTTCATAAGTCGTAATGACTCTATGAGGCGTATGCACTTGTTCCCATTTTTACAGAGCAAGAAACAGAGTAAATGGCTTGCTTAAGAGCAAGCAACCACTAATAGGAACTCTCAGGTCACACTCAGTTCTATATAAGGCCAAATCCCATAGGATTTGGATTCTTATAGGAACGCACATCATCATCCTTCTCTCTTAGACTGAGTGTGGGTTTGAACAATCAACCTTGCGGTTAGAAGCCCAACACTTAATCCACTGCCCTTCCAGTGCTCCTCCTCCTTACTCCCATCACTTAAATAAAATTATCACCAGGCTTAGTGTATGGGCTATGCAAAATTGAGAGCTGGCCAGGCATGGCCCATGGTCCATAGTTTGTCAGCCTCTGGTCTTGTCAGGGACAGAAACCAATGCTTACAAACAAGCCCATCACAAAGAAGTTATGAATTCTCCTAGGATGGTGTACATTTTGCCACCTCAGCCCTCTCTGAGGTGGCAACCATTTATTTTAAACACAATTCAGAGGAAGGTTTGAAGGGAGCAAGCCAGGAGACTGAATACTCAACTGGGCTGGGTTGACATCTTTGTTTACTTCCCAAAGTCTACTTTGACAGTCTACTATTTCCCTTAAAAAGGAAGTATTAAAAAAATGAAGTATTAAATGAGAGGTGGGAAATCAATTTAAAACAATAATAAGAACAGCTAGTAGTGGTTTGGGACTGTGGTACAGCAGCCTAATTAAAATGATTTATTACTGCACCAAAAGGCTCTGTTGTTGCCGCTGTTTATTGAATAACAGCTCCCATTGGCCAGTACTCCACATAGAATGCCTGGAAAATTACCTAACAGGTTCTCTTCAAAGAACAGCATCCAACAGGAGTGTGTCCCTGGCCCTGGCCCTTCTTTGTGTGCCTCCCAAGGTACTTCCAGGGTGGAGCTAAAGGACATTGGGTAAGTGGAGCTCTGAGGTTAAGAGGTTTGGTCTGCTATCAGCAGTGATGAGGTCTCCTTAGTTTTGGCCTCTAGGGAAAGTTCTTCCCTCTGCCTTGCCCAACCCTGACCGAGGAGAAGGCTGTCTGCCATCCTGCAGGCTGCCATCCGCCCAGCATGCTGACCTGCGTCTGTCTGCTGACTTCTGGTAGACATCCTGGTCTTGCTGCAGCCGAGAGCTAAGCCTCAGTGCCTAGCAGCCTGGAAGGGGTGAAGTTGAGTGCATGAGGGGCACAGAGCCTCCTTTAGGGAAGAAGGATCAGTTTTCTCTAAGGAAGTAGCCCTCTGGCAGGGTTCAAATATATGTTAACGCATGTTTTATTGTCTATAAATACTCAGTTCCTTGATGCTCCTGGGACCAGCCTGGCCATCTCCTTGGTCCCTCCTAAGTTAATCTTTTTTTCTGAAATGAACTTATTAGTCACTGTACTGATGGTTGCAAAACCCGATAAACATTGTGAATGTCACTGAATTGTACATGTAAAAAGTGGTGAAAGGGTAAATAAGTGTTTTGTGGTGTGTATATAGATTGAAACCACAAAAGCTGAGAAATGATTTGATTGAAAAATTAGAGTTAAATATCAAGCTGGTATTTGTGTGTGTGTGTAGAGACATTGCAAAGAGAATTTTGTTTATTATACCCTTTAAAATGTTTCCTCCATGATGATGAAGAATGTGAGCGAGGAGTGTGGCCATCGCTCCGTAGTGGACACATTAGACTATGCTGTAACTGCACACATCGGTAGAGAGAATATAATCATTACAGGGCCATCGTTTGGTGACTTCCTCAAAATCCCCTTTCTGAGAATCATGATTTTAGCCTGGTTTCTGCCATTGGCCAAGTTGAATACAAAGAAAAGTAGTAACTCATGGAAATGCGTCACAAGCTGTCACACACCATTAGAGTTCTATAGTGTCTGAGCCAAATCGTTTATTTTGAAAGCAACAACAACATTATAATTTGATAGGCTCATTAATTAGGATAGCAGTGATAGTTCCATTTTAGAATAATGACTATCATTGAATGGCATGCCAGATCACATTCAGCACTGTATTTACCTTACAACCCTTTCCCTTGTACTATGTCTATAAGGTAGGCATTATTATGCCTGCTTTGCATGTAAGAACACAAACATGCAGGAAAATGAAGTAGCTATTAATTGATGGCGTTTACATTTATCTCAGGTTTTTCCTTCCTCCACAGCCTAACATTAAAGCTGAATTGCTTTTCTTGGACAATAAAAATCATTGACTTATGTACAGTCCTGTTAAATAGAACTTTTCAGCCTTAACTTTGGAATCATTATCTGTATTTTAGAACCGAACATATGTGACCACAAAAAAATATTTACACTTAGACATCTATTCCTAATGACTATGAAACTATGCTGCATATATCCATATGCATAGATATAATTTTACCTTGACAAGCTTAAGGATATTTATAACTCCTTCCTCAGCTGTGTGCGTATACTATTTGTCATGTTTATTATTTTCAGGTGACGTGAAAGATGGTAAAAATAAGTCAGACAAGAAGGATCAATCTAATGTCGGAAATGATTCAAAGAAAACAGATGGTAAGCGTATCATTCTCATTACATTTTTCCATAAAATGTGCAACATAATGCAAACTTGCTAGAATTACATCTAAAATTGAAGTCAAGGTTGTTAGTATATCCTCATATTATATCTTGAAAAGCATGTAATTTGCAAAGTATTACTTATTATCCTTTTTTTCAATAATTTATGAATTGTATATTTTCTTCCCACCATGCTCTCTCCGTCACAAGTGCTCTCTGTATTCTTTCTTTACCCACTTTTACTCTTCCTATTCACCTTTAAACAAGATTGATTCTGGATTTATTCATTGTAAGAAAATGGGATGACATATAGCTAAAATGTTTACAGATTTTTATTATGAGTTTTACAGAGTGACTGGGAACATTTGGGTTTTCAGTTTTAACGTCTTTTGTCCTGCATGGATTATTAATCTTGGCCAGAAGCAGGGAGAACATGCAGGGTTATTTTTAGTATAACCAGTTGTCCCTTTTACTAAACAACAGGGCACTCCGGTGAAACTTTTCATGATCCAAAATGGCATAAAATGAAGAAGCAATTACCATTAATTTGCATGGGGGACATTTTTGAGCATTCTCAGGTCCCCTCAGTGTCACCTACCAACTGAAACCAAATAGCTCTAACATATGAGAAGGGCTTCCCAAAGTTTGCGGAAACATCCCACTGTCTTTGAACTCCATTTTCCCATGAATGTTTGGAAGGCCTCTTGTCGAGTGGTTATAGCTGCATTTCAAAGGGACTTCATGCTGAGATGTTGGACGTAGTGCTCACAGTTTCTGCTGCCTCTCTAATCACCTGCTGCAAAACCCATGCTGAAATGATAGTTTCATCTGCTTTCATAAAAGCAAAAGTCCTTTGGGAGTTTGGGGTGCCGGGGTTGGGAAAAACAGGTACTCATGCTAGTCTTTCATAAAAGAGAAGTGGTTAAAGTGAACTTGAGAAAAGCAGGGGGTGCCTGCATTAGGATGTTCTGCAAACGCTGGAGGACTTGCGTGGTTGTAGAGTATGGTTTGGCCAGCAAGTGCAAGTCTTAAGGGCACCCGCCACTTGAGATAACTCTCCCAAACAGAAATTAAGATGAGCCTGCCTTGTCATGTGCTTCTTGAGGATTGATTTTACGTTCCATAAGCAGCATTTTAAACTATCTTAAGCCTGAAATCTCAAATGATATTATCTCCAAACTTTAAATTTACTAGATTCAAAAACTTTCCCTCACTTTTCTTACATAAAATAACATCGTTTCTGTTTAACATGCTAACATAGTTAGTCATTCATTCATACCTGTCCATGTTATTAAATCAAAACACACTCTCCTAAGGAGTGGGAGTTTTTAGGAGTCCCAGACTTCCTTTGAATCCTAACTCTCTGGACACATAGTACGTGGTGCTGACTAGTCTCCAGAGAGCTTGGGGAGAGCAAATGCTGGGTCATCAAGTTGAGGAATAAGAAGATTCCTGATCACAGTCCTCACCTGGTTGTTATAAGAGATGTGGCCTCTATAGCTTTGATCGATCCTTAAGCTACTGTAATATGCTCTCTTTCTTTGTGTGTGCGAAGTCAGTTCTCGAACTTTTCCTTTTAAGATCATTCAGATAATTCACTCCAGATGTTTTATCACGTAATACTGAGGGAACATATACCTGCAATTTTTCACTAACTTATTTATGCTAATGGGACCTCTTACCTTCTCTTAATGATTGCAACTAAGCATTGAGTTACACAAGACAAAATAGAATTCAGCATGACAACCACATTCCATGGTGACCTAGGCTTGTTCAAATACTAAAAGTTCTTTGTCATACATCATTAGACTCATGTTGTAGCAAGATGGGCCAGAAAATGTACAGTAGATTAAATGGTAGTGTGTAAAATCCAGCAATTTAGGCATCACTCCCTGATGGAGATTACTACTGCATAAAGGCCAGAATAAACCATATCCCAAATCTTTAAAGTGGGGTTTTGAATCTTACGTTTTGTAGTATACATTGTGGTACAAATATCTGCTATACATCTGACTTGTGAACATGTTATGTTACCTTCATAAAGCCCTTTAATATTATTTATACCTTTTAAACTGAATTATTATCAAATATTTAAAATGAATTTCAAGGGGAGGGGAGTGTGACAATGAGCTAGATATTGTATGCCATTGTACAAATAAGGATAAAGCTTGATGGTTTGATGATGGGGGTTCTTGCTTTCAGGCTCTAGTAAATAAGGAGAGACATTCCCGGTCTCATCTGTCTCTTTTCCCCTCCATAACACTAGCATTTCCCTGCCTCAAGTGGGCCTGCAGTGTGCATATACTTGCAAGTTTGTGCAGAAACATGATTCTGGGCAATTGTGTCTTTTAACTTCATTGACTGACCCACGTGCCATCACTCAGCACTGCCGCTTTGTTGCCATCACAGGACTCTTGTAACTTGCATTCTCTTTGTCTGAAACCTTGGCAGATCTAAAGAGAATTCTTGGAGGCATGTATTAGAGAACCCCCCTCCCCCCACACACACCTTTCGTAATTAAAATCATCTACTTTAGAAAACAATTTAAATGACTTCAGTATATCAGTAGATATATGTTGATTTTAAAAACAAGAGAAAATAACCAGATAATTTGAACATTTCTTTTTAATGACTCTTATTATATCTGGTGACCAGAGGAAGTCAAGTTGGTGACTCTCTTCTTTGGGGAAGGAGGATCCAGGCACATTTCAGGGCCCAGTTTGATCAAACCCACTGTGGGTTAAGGTGGTAGCCTGGTGCGCATTCAGAGGGAAACCAATGGAAATGGTCCACAGTTGGTCATCCCATACTTCCAGGAGCTGGGCCACAAACAAAGAGAAGCAGAGTGTGCTGAAAGGGGAAATTACATCCTGGCATAATGAACACATTGCAGTTGAACATTATCTCTGCCAGGCCACTGAGGCGCTATTTAGTACCCTGTAGCACTAATTTTCTAACTGACTTCAAAGAATGAATGTCCTTTGAAAGTGCCTTGCTTACTCCTAGGGAGAAATGTACTAACAGAAAGAGGTCTGGGTCTCTGAGCCAAGGTTCTCACAGTGTTTAAGTGTTTCTTCTGTCTCTGAGTGGTGGTATGTGCTGTATGCTACAAATGGGTTCTTTTGACTGGGTTTCTACCCCTATTTATAGCAACATAATTTCTTGGACCTGCCATAATTTATTATTGTCCAGAAGCAGAAATTTCCCTTCACCTCACTGGACCACCTTACATTACCAGAGAGGCAAGGAATTCCCAACTTTTGTGCCTCTCAAAGGGTTAATTATAATTAGGCCAGCACCGTTATTAGTCTAACCCCAGGAAGTGAGTTCAGCAGGGGTTTCTCTATCATCGAATATTGCGGGAATTGCAATGATGGTGGATGTTGGCCCATGAAATTTAAAAGTCAGTCGTGAAGAGTGAAAAAGGTGAAAAAAGGCAGTCTGTCAAAGTACACTTTTGCCAAGGAAGGAGCAACAAGAATTGATTTACTTTCCAATCTGAAGCAACAACAATAAAGATACTGGAAACAGGCATCAGCTAGATGGCCGCTTGTTTGCCTTCAAGTCTTTAAGACCCCAGATGGGCACCATCAGCTTTCTTCGCCACATTAGCTTATGCACCCATTTGTCTTCAGCGATCGTATTGGGGAGGTGAGCACATAATGATATGATTTTTTGTTCTTTGATGCCTGGTAACTGATCCCTTCGGCATCTTGTGAGCATGCAGGTTGGTGTGCTTCTTCCATATGGGCTTCATTGCTTATGAGCTAGATGGCCACTTGTTTACCTTCAAGCCTTTAAGATGCCAGACACTATATCTTTGGATAGCTGGGAACCATCATCCTTCTTCACCACATTTACTTATGCACCTTCTTTGTCTTCAGCGATTGTGTCGGGAAGGTGAGCATCATGGAATGCCAGTTTAATAGAACAAAGTATTCTTGCATTGAGGGAGTACTTGAGTGGAGGTCCAATGTCCATCTGCTACCTTAATACTAAATCTATAAATATATACACATAGATCGATTTCCCCATTCTCATATATAAGTATATTTACATATGTACATGCCTTTATTTAAACCTCTATAAATGCCCTTTGCCTCCTAGCTCTTTCCTCTATTTCCTTTTACTTTCCTCTTTTCCACTATCATATGCGTTTCAGGAATTCCTCTAGGTTACATTGCCCTTGGTCACGCCCTACCAGGCCTCCTATGAAAAAATCTTATATCCACTACCATACCTTGGTGGTGGGAATCTTACATTTGAAAAAAAGTGTTGTAATGCTTTTGCTTTTATTTTAAGAAGATGAGCAGATATACACAATATGGTACAGTCATTCTACCCCTAACTATTTATTCAAGAGGAAATAAATTATATTTCCATTCAAAGATTCACACAGATACATATTAACATTATCTGTAAAGGGTAAATAAATGAAAAATGAAAATGTCCATCAGAAGATGACTAGATAAATTATGTTGGAATAATATTTAGCAATAAAAAGGTACAGATTATTGATCAGAAACAACACAAAGCATCTTAAAACATGTATGCTGAGTGAAAGAATACATGCAACCACCCAACCCACAAAATGGATTCTGAGTGTATATAAAACTCAAGAAAATGTAAATTAGTCAATAGTGATACAAAACAAATCAGTGATTATCTTAGAATGGTGTTGAATGAAGCAGTTTTCAAAATGACGTCTGTGGGGATTGATCTGCTTGTTGATAGCACTTCTGAGGTATTTTGTATAATTCAATTTGTCACAGAGGAATAGGCTAACTTGTATTCCAAGACATAGATTGGATGCTTTCTTATTTATTGTCTATCTTAGTCTAAGAGCCAACCTTCTGTGAGATTCTTTGGATGCCCTTTCCTACCGTCAACTCGGCTGTAGGAATTGTTTGTTTCATTATCTGACTTTCTCATTAGACAACAAGGCTCTAAAACACATGCAACTTTCTTACTTCTGAAATGCTTTCAAGTGACTATCA